AAAAGATGATCCATTCTTTTGACGTTGATGTGACTACTTAGAAAAATTAATCCTTCTAGGAGCTGCTTTATGCATGAAAACCTATCTGTATAAAAAAAGATACAAGTTTTCTACTTTCTTGGTTTTACAGAAATGTTAAGCAAACCTTAGCAGTTCCTTACACCTTTCAGGAAGGAGCATCTTGGATACTTTGTGCTTTGCAAGCACTCTCCAGGAAAAACTCCTTCTCTAGTTTAGTTCTGTGTGCATTACCTCGTTTCCAGGTTTGCATATGCTTTTGGAAATTCTACTTACTGGTTGTACACGCGACACCATACTTACTATACCTTATTGTTTTGGGTTACTGTGCTTGTATCCTGCCTACACCATAGCAGCCAGTAGGCAAGGAATGCTGTCCAGCACTGTAAGGACAGGTGGACTGCAAGTGTCTGACTTGACTCGTTTAGATCTCTTCAGAGTGTCTAAAAACAAGTATTTTGGCTACTTTTACTGGCTTTTTACAGTGTATGTGTGTATATACCAAAAAATCTATATTTTTTTCTCATAAAAAGGAATCCTTTTGCCTTACATTTAAAAAAGCAAAAATTATCGTTATGCTAGTTCTTGTACAGAAACCATCAAATTTAAAACGTAGAGTGCTTTATATTCCAATGTTATGCAGTAATAAGTAGTTAAGCTGAGTAATTCTCTTAGAGAAAACCGTATACAAATTTAAGTAGCCATTTTGTTGAAAACTTGATCAGAAGAATGTGTGTCTTATGTTAACATCTAATGTAGTTGAACAAAAATAAAGGTAATTAAGCTGACTTTATATCCCAAGAATTGTGGATCAGAGACACTTGATCCATTGTTGGCAGCTGCATTTTTTTTTTTTGTACCTGGCAACTGATCTGTGAAAGCTTTTGAGAAAGCATGAAAACAAGAAGCAGTGCTTCTAGAATGACAGAACTAGAGCTTTCTAGAAACTTTTGGAAGAGGTATTACGAATTATCAGACTGAATGAGTTCTTGTGGGTTTTCAGGAACTGCATTAGTGTGTGGGCATGAGGGCAACATTAGCTTAATGCTGACTGCGGTAATGGTGTTGGGCAGCTCAGCTAGCTGAAACCCCCTCACAATTAAAATTAATTAAAAAGCATCAACACAGTAAATTGTGAAACCTACAGCTCTCTTGAACAGTTCTTGTGGACAGTTTTCATTCCATATGGTAAACCTTTTTAGTTTTTACAGGTTATCAGTTTTAATAGATGAAAAATCCTGCAAGGGTGAAAGGAGTCTGATGTGCTTTGAAGAACTTGCCGAGGGACTAGATGACCTTTAAAGGTCTCTTCCAACCCAAACCTTTCTCTGATTATACGAACTTATGACTTATTAGTATAGAACTCTACAGTGGGATTGCACAGAACGTTGCATGCTCATGTTTTGTAGTCACTTCTGGGAGGGAAACAATGCACAGGTCCCCACATTCAAAGGAGACTGACTTTTATTTTTGGTTCCAGCCTTTCAAAATTGTTTGTCACAAAATGCAGTGATAACTATTAAGCACATTTGCAAAATTAAACTTTTGTCAGCATCGTTCTGAAGAACTTGGTAGCTTGCTCAGGTAACTCAAGGTTGCTGCCGTGCTCTGTGCGCTGGCAGAGGTGAGAAGGACCCGGGGAGTGAGATACGGCAGCTTCTGGAGTAGATGGAGGATAAGATAAAACTGGTGGCAGACTCTTTTTCAAATCTTGCAGCCCTTTAAACTTGGTAAAATAATAATAATAAAAAAACCAAACAAAAAAATCCCACAGAACACTGTTACTGTATAGAAATCAGCTATTGCTGGCACCCTGTCTTTCACCGTTGTTAAAGCTTTTTGTGCAGTGTAGGAAACAACTGCAGAAATTGCTGGGGTGCAAGAAGGGACTCGTGCAGCTCCTGGGAGCCGCCTGCGGCTGCCGTGCAGGTTATCCAGTCTGAGGCAAGTCCCTGACGTCGGACTGCAAATCCTCTCACCTTTTCAAAGCAACACCTTATGCCCTCATGTACTTCATGGTTCTTCTTGCTGAAGATAATGCACGTGTTGTGTGCTAGTTTGCGTGTGGTACCAAGAGATTCAAATATCTGTGGTACTTTTTGTAGATAACCAAGTACAAGTCTTTTTTTTTTTTTTCTTCCTTTAACCCTTCCTCAGGGATACATTTAAGTAATCTGTGATTTGAAGAGTACTTCACATCTTCCTCTGTGCTATTGCTGTAATTGTTATTTATATGCTCCCTGATATATTTTGTCTGTTCTAGTTGTTTCAGTCTGTGCAACAGTTTACAATAAATACAGCTTTTTCAAATTTCTTTTCTTTGCATGCGTCTGTCAGCCTAGTGATTTAAGGAAACACCGTAGAAAGGTAAAAATCTTGAGTTTATTTACTGGTGTGCCCCTTCATCTCTTTCTGTGTCCCCAAACTTGTTAATAGAGAACAGGGACATAAGAGGAAACAATTGCAGGGTAATGCTATAATAAAGCAAGATTATGTGCTCTTTGATATTAAATATAAAATGGTTTATCATTGTCATGTAAGTGTGTGTTTTGGTTTGTGGTTTTCTGTTTGGCTTTTTTGCTGGTGTTTGGGATTGTTGCACTGTTTTCTGTTTTGCTGCCTTCATGAAACGGTGTTTAGTTTAACAGATCTGTTAGTGCACACTCTAATAAGTCTTCTGTTCTTCAGTCTGTGAGATAAGCCATAGCCACCAGTGTGTAGGAACTGGCTTCATAGAATTGGTAATCTGGCTAACGATCATCTAAGCGTGTAACAGTGAGAAATGAGATGCCTTCTTTTCACAGGACTTTGGGGTTTTGTCTCTGCACTTGCTTAAACTGAAATCAGGTATATTAGTTTTACGGTGCTGAACACATCAGTCAATTTCTTAGCGCCATGAAGGAATAAAAGATGAGTGCTGCTTGCTCATTGCACTAGCTAAGGCTGAAATGTGGTTTGTTGCTGAAGGTAACAGAAAATCCAGAAAGAAGTCAAAAAAAAAAAAAGGCAACTGCAGAATGGTAAGGGCAAGAGTAGTCTGAAATAATTTTTCCTTCCAGTATTTTGTGTAGCGTTGTTACTGTGTTCATCTTTTGGCATTTCCAACTTAACCCCTCATTTTCATTTTCCGTTAGTCCCCAGCTTCTAGAGAAGAGGTACGAGATGATAAAACCACAATAAAATGTGAGACATCCCCACCTTCTTCACCTCGATCTTTGCGTTTGGACAGAGTCCAAAAAGGAGCTTTGCATACAGTGAGCCATGAAGATATCAGGGACATAAGAAAGTGAGTAGCTGTGAAAAAGTCAGACCTATCAGTAATTTAATATTTCAGATTACCAGAATAAAACCCTAAAACTACAAAGCTGTATGCAGCCTCTAGAGGATTTTAGTTTAGATACTGAAGTGTTTCTCAAAGGCTATGAGTACATAAACGGGTGATGATGTTACATAAAAAGTCAGAATACAGGTTTTGTTAATCAACAGAAATGGCTTTACGTGAAGAATTCTTCTGCTTCTCAAGGTCTGCATTAAGTTTGCTTCAGAAAGGCAAGATGTACAATTCCAGTCATCTTTCATAGACTGGAACGTAGCTATAAATTCAGAAATGAGTTGCAAAATTACCATAATTTTGACAGATGTTCTTTTCAAAATGCCTAAGTATCTGGGCTGGATTCCACTCAAGTATTTCAGACTTTTCATTGTCTTGATTCATTTTGTCAGGAACTTCTGTTGTCAACTTTAGCCTCTGAATTGCACTTTAAATTGCACTTGGAGCACTTCAATTCTAATTTCTTAAAAAATAAAAAAAGGCAAGCAAGAATTAACTTGTAGCTACATGCTATAGTGTGTAAATATATAAATATTATATCCTTTTCTCTTTGGCATGATTTAATTATTTCCACAGTTTTTTCTGTTTAGTGATGTGTATTGTCGTAGGTACATATTTCTTCTAATGATTCATTGAAAGCTGAAAGTAGATGTAATCAGCGAGTTCGTGAGCGTTTGTTAACTTGCACAGAAACCTGCACTTGTCCCTCACTGTGCTGTGCCACTGAATTTATTGGCCATGTGCTCCTTCATGACTTTTTTTTAATTGCAGTTCGACAGGCTCGCAAGATGGGCAAACCAGTAACCCGAGTAGCAGTAATAGTAGCCAAGATTCCCTTCATAAAGCCCCCAAAAAGAAGGGGATCAAATCTTCTATTGGCCGCTTGTTTGGCAAGAAAGAAAAGGGACGACCTGGACAAACAAGCAAGGAAGCATTAGGGCAAGGTTAGTTTTCTTATTTTTGCACACTAAGAGTGAGAGACTGAATTTTATGATGTGTGTATCTGTGTGTGCACATTTGACTGATTCTTTTGATGGTACTATAGACCATTTTTTTGAGCTAGTGACACTAAATTTTCTGGTAAGTTCTTTTCCTGCATCCTTACACGATGCACGTTCAGCGAGTGATGTGTTGCTGTTAGTCTCCCCGAGTCAGAATATTGAACCTTACTGAACTGTTATGGCTTGTTCTGTGAAGCAAAAATTTGAACTGTATCTCAGAAGTGAAAAAGGCTTTCATTGGTGCTGACACCTACAGTCATGTCTTCAGTTTGTACCCAAAGGAACTCCCTTGAAATGAATCCAGCTGGCTCGGTAAATTTGCTCTCTTGCGTAATTCTTTGCACAGAGCAGTGTTGTTGGTGTCGATACCAACCATAAGTAGTCAGAGAACGTGGAGAATTCACCTTACAGGTGGTTGCAACATGAAATTCCCTGGGTGACTCCAGCTGGTTTTTAGACAGCTCAGATTTGAGTGCGTACCAATCTGATTTTCGCCGTTTTAGTACACCGTTCTGAGGAGTATGTACACAACTAGAAAACGGTAGATGGGCTTGGGGATTTGGCTTTGTACATTTCTGATCAGTAGTAGTGTGAAATGTGTTCGTTTGGGAAAGCAGCAGTGATTTTTGAGCTACAACTGGCCAAAATTGAGAAGATAACAAGACTGGGTTTAGATTATTTTGTGAGTTTTGTTGTTTTTGTTTGGTTTTTTTTTTTAATTGTAGTTGGCGTGGCAGAAGGAGACGGTTCCTCTCAGGATGCATTGGGTCTCAGCAAACTTGGAGGTCAGGCAGAGAAAAACAGGAAAATGCAGAAAAAGTAAGTTATCAAGTATTTTTATTCCTCGGTTGTTAAGGTGTTGCTTTCTTTAAAAATGTTCTGGTTTCAGGTATTTTTACCTAGTATGGTGCTGTGGCTAATAACCCTCTGTAGAATTTTTTTATTACTATTTTTTCCAGAATGCTAACAATAGTGTAGGTTGTGGTCAGTTTGAAAAGCATTGCTGTGCTGAAAGCTTGTTGAAATGCTTTAATAAACTAGGACGTAAGTGGACTCTTATCAAAACCTTGCTCAAATTTGTTGTATGCAATACCTACTTTGGGTTTAATTAATTTAGAAGATTCCCCAGAATTGTCTCCTGTTATTTGCTCCAGAGCATGAGAAAGCTGACAGAGTGAACGCACGAGCTGCTCTGTACAGGTGTGTGCCTGTGGGTTTTTGCTGGCAGGTGACTCTAAAAATCTTTCCTTTTGCATTGCAGCTGCTACCAGCTGCTCTGTGCACTCATTTTTCCACTCCTATTGAAGTCTATCTTGACATTTTCTCTCATATATACCCTGATACCCTGATTTCCTTTTTTTTTTTTTTTAGAGTTGTGACTATTTCCTTTTTTTTAAGGCTTCTTTTGAATATACCTTTTCCTAGTCATGAGAATTCTTCAGCATGTCCAAGAAAACCTTTTAGTTTCACTGTTCAGCTTTTTGAGTATCTGTTGCATGCTTTGTGGTTCGCAGACTTGGAAACAATGAAGCAAAGAGTATACTCAGAGGTGAAAAAATAGATATTACTACTAGTAGAAATCTTGACTTGGTGCTTATATGGTAATACAGGAAACACTCTAATTTATTTCAGTAGGATCAGGCATTCTTTGCATTTTTCCACTCAAAGCTGTTCCATATACCTTGAACTTTTGTTGCTTCTGTTCTATTCAGCTGTCTTTTATTTTGTGTCGAAATGACCGAGCAAGATCAGATGTGTCCTGCTTTTTTATTTGCGTTCTGAAGACAGAGTAGTAAACGTTGGAAAGAAAGTGTGCTGGTTTTCTGTTCGCGAGAGACTCCTTGCAGTACCTAAGTTCTCTTAACAAATAAGAATAATGCCTGGTGACTGCTAATGAAAACCAGCAGTGTGTTGGTTTGAAAAGTCGGAATGGAATGTGGGTTTGTTTGTATAACAGAACGCTCAGCTGTTTTTCTTCAGACTGCTACACTGAAGGCAGTCGTGCATTATTACAGTCTAGTATTTTCCCTTTTCTACAGAGCTTTAAAGTCATACCACATCTTGGTTGAATAAATAATTTTAGTCTGGTCATAACTAAATAGTGGTAGGTCCATTCTTTGAATGATACAGATCTTTCTCAATACCAGCAACAAACTTCCTTGTTTTAATAAATGCAGAAAATGCAGTTGCAGATAAATCCTGGCTTTTCTTTGTAAACATTCTGCCTTTCCAAAACTTACTGGTGTTACTTCAAGTTGTTGGTTGATTAAAAGGCAATTGTCTGTATTAGACAAATGAAAAGTTTTAGTTTGAAATTGCCTTGTCTAGCTATTAAATATGGGCACACACCTATTCACAGGAAGGTATCTGTGATTTGGATATTTCAGTGAAAGTGAGGATGAAACAAGACTGTGTTGATGAAGATACATGTCCTAATGTTTAATTTTATTACTGCTGAGAGCAGCAGCAGGGCCCTTTGAATGTCCATGAGAAGCCAATTTTACCATTTTAGAAATCCCAGCAGGATACTTTAATGCAGAATCCTGGCAGGTGTTCTGGACATGGGAGGCGTTATTATCCCAAAGTGTCGGAGATCCCTTGCTGCCTTCTGGAGATGTTGGTTATCGTAAAGGAAAAGGGGTAAAGCGGCTCTGAATAGTTTTTCACTTTGATATTTGAGCAGAGTGGGATTAAAACCAATTCTCAGGGTGGACTGATCAAGACCTGTATTCAGGGAAAAGAATTCTGGTTACCTGTATGCTTGGAACGATGATAGCTATTTCTATTTATAGTTGTCTCTAATCCCTATTTGCTTGCTTATCTTTCTGATTTCTGCATGCATGCACACAAACAGGCTGCGGGCAGTATTCAGTGTCTTTACCAACAAAAATGTATTTGTAGTTACAGAATTAAATTACAGTGTACATTATTTGTCTGTTTTCATATGCCTTTGCGTTCAGTTTAATCCTAGTTTTATATTTTTCCTTCATTGTTTTGTTTTCCCTTTGTTTACCATTTGATGTGGTAGTGCAAAATCAGGGTAAGTTAATGTTTATTTTATTAGGATTGTTGTGAAACTATCATAAATCTCATTTGGATTTTTTAGCAATATATTAAAAGCTCTAATGTTTTTGGGGAAAAAAAGCCTACGAGAGGAGATTCAGAATTTATTGTGAAAATGTGTTGCTGCAGTAGATCCAGTGTCACCTAGTTCAGTGTCTTCTCTAAATTTGCATGGTGTGATTTTTTTATAATGGAAATATTAACCCCTAATTTGATTTAGTTTTGTAATTTGGGTTTTGAAAGTTGTTTAGCAATGGTAGATATTTGTGGCAATTCACTTCCAAGATACATGGATTTTCTGCAAAGCTGTTGCTCTTTGTTTACTAAATTTGAGTTGATTTTGTGTTTTGTTTGTGCCGTTAATCGTTGATGTGAGCTGTACTACTGATGCTGTTTCCCCACTGTGTATTTGTGCTTTTCTGTGCGTGACACAACAGACTTAATGCTGTATTAGTCAAAAAGGAAGGCAACCCAAAATTCAAGATAAAATTATACACGAACCTTATTACATACCTGAAATCAATAAGTAATAAGGGTAAACTTTCCGCTGATGCTCTCCCTGAAATCGGTCTATTTTCACCTCCTTTCCTACTGTTCCCTTTTGGTTTTTACACCTTGCAGCTCTCTCATTTCCGTCGCTGTCACTCTCTTCACCGTGTTCCCTACAGTGTTTCTCTCCTCTCAACTTCTTCCCAGATCAGTTGTGTTCACTTCCATCCAAGAAATCTGGAGTGCAGCGTTCCCCTTTGGCTGCCGGTTCTGGATTTGTCCGTTCCCATGCTGTCTTAACCCAGAGCCAAAGCGGTGTTGCTCCAGGCTGCTTTATTTTCCTGGGGGGTTAGCGTATGCTTGCCTGCCAAGCGTTACTCTAAACACAAACACTTCAAATAGTCTCTGAAGGGCCTTGTGTGTTCACTGCTGCAGCAGGCACTTGCAGTTTTGACATCATCTCTAAGCCCGTGTGACCACAATTTCTTTGTTCTGCACAGCTGGCGTGGTCACAACAACCCCCAGCAGCGCTACAGG